ATAAAAGTATGGTCAATATTCAATCTTCCTATATTTTTTTTTCTGTGTGGATAGTTAGGCACATCCCTTTGAGTTACTATGTATCTCATTTCAGAGTTTCTGCAATGTTCTAGAACTTATTTAATTAGTACAACATCATCTGTAAACAGAAACATTGGGAGAACATGACCATCTATGAGTGTTCTTAAACTGAGGTACATGAACTTAAAATTTGTTTTGATAACTATATTTCATAACTATATTTATAACTATGCCCTTTGTAATCTTATGAATTTTACTGTATGCATTTAAAAACATTATTCTGAGATAAGGTCCCTAAGCTTTAGCAGACCAAATGGGTCTATGATACAAAAATGTTAAGAATCTCCAATCTCTAGAGAATTACTTTTTCACTGTGTGCTGGATCTCTTCAATGTTGACAGTTAACACCTTTGAATAAAAGGCACTATGTAAAAGAAGAGAAAAAGTAATGTGAAATATATACCCAAAATGTGGAAGTTAAAAGTCAAAAACTTTGGGGAACTTGTCAATTAGATTATCATAGTGTCCATTTGGACATTCATGTTGTCTCTGAGGTAAGGAAAGGAATGTTGATATGAAATTAGTGTTCATTTAATCTGATGAAGAATTCCATATGCTATTTTATGTCAAATTTATATTTAATATGTATTTAATACTAGAGGCCTTTACATCAGATGCAAATTATGAAATACTAGAACTTTTTAATGTTTTTAGAAGAAAAGTCTGCATCTTTAACTGGGAGAGAGAAATCTCGAGACACTTTGTTCAAATCAATTCAGCTTAGCATTTATTAAGTGACTTTCATGTGACAGGCACCATACTATGCTCTGGAGATAAAAAACAAAGATTAAAAATAATTCCTGCCCTCAAAGAGTTTTCCATTATACTCTTGTTCATTAAGGAATCCCTGACAACAAACATGACAAAACATTATTCAATATAAAAGTGACTTTCCTTTAACTAGAAGTTTAATTCTTGCTATGTATTTATGCATTTTTAAAGGAATTATCGTGCTTGGCTCTAAATCATAAAAAAGCTTTGAGGGTTTAAAATAAACAGATTATGGGTGGTGACATTTTTGCTTTTCCCTGAATCCTCTGGAAGAGCCCACAGTTTGGAGGTAAGATTAAAGATGGGATGGGATGAATTATCTGTTCTAGTAAGTCAATTTTTCTTTTTCTAAATCTGAGCAATCACATCCCAAACTGATTTTTTTTTCCCTACAGAGGAAATAACCAGTGTTCTTTTATGGGAGAGTAAAAATGGAAAACCATGCTGTTTCCCCACATTACATGTAGGAAGTTCAGAGAGTGGCCTCCTCCCAAGTGGTAAGGGACAGCCAGTGACATAGCCCAAAGAAAATGCCCCATTTTAAAAGCAATAATTAGTCCCCCATGCCTTTCTCTTCCTAACACCAAATTGCCATCTGTGTTAGAAATGGGAAGGGGGATGATGGGTATCATATAATAGAGGAGATAAAGCACATTTTCCTGTCTGGATAATGTATTAGGGCTCATACCAAATATGTGTGCTATAAGTCACTATGGCCATCCAGTGAATGGTGAAATAAGCATACAATAGAGTTTACACCATAAAATATTGAAATACTACAGTAACTGTCATTTTAAATTTTCCAATATGGTAATTTTTTAGAAGTGTGCTTCCAAAGATCAAAGACCTTTGCTTTAAAATCCACTCTGTTGGGAAATTTAAATGACCATGTGGTTGTATGAGTCTGTCAGCCTTATTTAGTATGATGCATAAATTCATAGTTCTTCAGTTTTGAAGATGCTGGTATTAATGATATTGCTATCTGTAAGCTTAGCAAAAAAGCACACAGCACCAGAAATCCTCTCCTGAATTTTGTAGGTACCCATTATTTATGGCTTGCTTTTTCACATTCTGGGCTAATCCAGGCCATGAATCAAGCTCCCCTTTCTACCCCCATCTCCCATTGTTGCACTCTAGGTAGTTTTCCAGAATTACACAGCTCTCTCTGCTGTACTGCTGCTTTGACCCTTTTTTGCTTTCAGTGCTCTACTTCAGCTCATCTGAGAGCAGCTGCTTTAGTATCCAACTGTCTGTCATTCATTTTCTACCTGTCCTGGACCATGGAGCTGAAACTGCTAAAAGCATGACTTCAATCCTGGGAAGCCAGTTGTCCTTCAGGATGTCTCTATTGTGGATGCTGACACTTTTCTATTACCTGGTCTCTTTGGTCTAACAGTACAACCCTTCAAAAAGTTGGATGAGATGTCCAAAGCAGGTCAAAGGTTCATCCATATATTAAGTATGATGTAGCCACACTCCGATAACTTCATCTGGAGCTTAATGCTATGTTGATTCTATCTTTATTTCTTATTCTTTTTCCTTTGTTCTGTGCTATTGTTCTGCATTAATTTAGTGATAGTTTTCCATTATGTTACAGCTCTGGAAAATTTTGGTGAAGACTGGTTGGAGAAGGGGTTGGGGAGGTGAGAACCCCATAAGGCAGCTTCTATAAGACCTCTGCAGCCTTTTGACTTATTTTGACTTATAGCATCAGGCTAATTCTTTAAAATGGTTTGTGATCTCTGTTGGCAAATGTAACTCCAGAGCACAGCCATTAGCTTATATACAAGCACAGTAAAAGCACAGTGCTATTATATAATCTTAGCAACAAAAACAATGGTAGGAAAGCTTTGATAGTCCAGCCATCTATCTCTTATCAAAAAGCTTACACGAACAACATATTTTATCTTATAATCCAAGTAATGAAAAGTTCCCTTTCATCTTCTCGCACCTGTCATGCTAATGTTTCAGTATATATAGATTGAATGGAAATTACAGATGAGGAGGGATAAGGAGTACCCTGAATACATACCAAACAGGTTTAATTGTAGGGTACCTTTTGGATAGGTCACTCAGTCAAATGGATGTCTTTTATATTTACATTGCTATGATACTATATTTTCCAAATAGATGCTCTATTTGTCGGCACTTCTCTTTCTAGAAGCAGGAAAAATAAAAATAAAGATTGGTACCTTCCTCAAATCCTTTTCCTCTGTATTATACCCCTCTACTTTATTATGCTAACTGAGCTGTGCCTTTACCTAGCTGTTCTTAAAGGGAATGAATCAACAGCTAGAACATTAGATTCTCACAAAGCAAAGCAAGTGTTGATAGGCGAAGTTGGAAACCTTTCCTAGAGACCCAGCACCGTTCTCCTAACGCCCCTCTTGTCGCATGCACCTTGGGGTTCTTATAGCCCTGTCTCTTGTTTTCCTATCTCCGAAGCTGGTTGTTCCCTACTTAAAGGGACCTCGGCTGTTAATGATGGAGCAACACAACTAGGCATCATTTTTGAGTTAGATCCACAGTTATTATAACCAAAGAGTGCAATACTCTTCCTTCAGACTAGCAGTACTTGCTTGCTGGGGTGGTTTCTAGCTGATGGGGCAAAGAAGGAGAGTTGGCTGGTTTTGTCAAGTATATTTTGAGACGCTGCTGATGCTAGGGGCTTGCCTTTTCTTGTGCTGCGAGACACTGCAGGCTCAACTCAGGAACGGAGGTGCAATTCAGGCTGTTGGAACACTGAGGGAAGGCTGGGACAGGCGGGGCTAGCTGAGCTCTGCAGCTGATCACACGCACCAACACCACACTCCCACAGACCCTCTGCTCCTTCCTCTCTCTCTCTCTCTCTCTCTCACTCACACACACACACACAACACACACACACACACACACACACACACACACTCAGGTGGAACAGGGTAAGGGGAAGATTGAAGAAGAGAGGTAAATCTTCTTACTATGAAGAGGAAACAGTGGAGCAGTGTTCCCCTTTGACCTCAAAGTCTGATCGCCAGCTCCCAGCTTTAACCTCCTTGCTAAGGAATCACCGCGATTTGCCAGTAAAAGGGGGTGGGGAGGGGTGGTGGAGAGAAGAGACGCGGTGAAACCAGGAGATCATCCCTGAAGTCCCGCTGTGCCCAGCGCACCAGGATTCCTTTTGGGGGGAGGGGGCTTTTTAGTACGCACTGGAGCAGGCTGGCTATGGGGGAGCTGCATTGGCACCCGACGTGGTAAACCAGGAAAAGTGGGGGCGAGGATGAAAACAACCTGGGAGTAAGAGAGGCTCTTGAGAAGGGAAGCCACTGCTGCTGCTGCTGCCTTCTCCTTCCCCCTCCTAAACACCCCCACCCCCCCACTGGCGCTCCTTCTCCCAGATCTGGGCGCTTGGTACTGCCAGTCCCGTCGTCTCTTCGCAGGGGGGGCGGCCCATGTGCCACTCTTGGGTCCAGCTGAAGAGCCCTGGCTGTCGCTAGTGAGAGCCTGGTCGGACTTCGAATTGGGGGTAGTCTCGGATTTGCCAACGAGGGGGGTACTGCTCTGCTCTCTCTGTCTTCTGAGACCGGAGGAAGGGGGGCGATTTGCGGGGTGTCGCACCATAACCGGTCAGACATGCCTTTGTATCCAATTTTGGCGGAAGGATAGGAACTGAGAGTGGAGGGGACCAGTGAGACTGACACCCGCAGCAGGGAAGAGGGTGGCTTTGGGGGGGGGGGAGGGTCCAGGGAGGCAGTTCAGCCTTTAGCTGCTCAGCTAATTTGCAGGTGGAGTGGGAGTAGTTTTTTTTCTTAATGTTTTGTTTTTATTGCAACTTGCGGGTGCAACTGAAGGGAGGGAGAAGTGAAGAAAAGAGGTAGAAGGTAAGGGGAAATGAAGAGGAAAGAAGGGAGAAAAGAGCTTTAATTGCACAAAGGTAAAACTGGGCTCTCTGTCCTTGCCTGCATCTCTCTTGCCGTTAAGTGTGGGAGAGCATTCTCCCCCCCCCTTTAGGACTCAAATCAGAAAGAAGGAATTTGTCCCAGGGGAGGTGCCAAGGCGTCGTACCTGAAGAGGAAAGGAAGAAGGGGGCTAAGACACTTTAAGATACCTGCTTGGGTGTCCTCCCTCCTCCCTTTCCTCTCCATTTCCCTCTCCTTTCATTTCCTACCCCCCCCCCGCTGGTATTGGTTTGCAGCGCTTCGCTCCTGCGCCTCCTTCCTTTTTGAATCTGGCCCGCTCCCCCGTATTATGTCTGCGCTCCGCAGGAAATTTGGGGACGATTACCAGGTAGTGACCACTTCGTCCAGCAGCGCGGGCTTGCAGAGCCAGGGCCCCAGCAGCAGCAGCAGCAGCAGCAGCAGCTGGTCCCCAGGAAAAAGCGGCAGCGGTTCGTGGACAAGAACGGGAGGTGCAATGTGCAACACGGCAACCTGGGCAGTGAGACTAGCCGCTACCTCTCCGACCTCTTCACCACCCTGGTGGACCTCAAGTGGCGCTGGAACCTGTTCATCTTCATCCTCACCTACACCGTGGCGTGGCTCTTCATGGCGTCCATGTGGTGGGTGATCGCCTACACCCGGGGAGACCTGAACAAAGCCCACGTCGGCAACTACACGCCCTGCGTGGCCAATGTCTACAACTTCCCCTCTGCTTTCCTCTTCTTCATCGAGACCGAAGCCACCATCGGCTACGGCTACCGCTACATCACCGACAAGTGCCCCGAGGGGATCATCCTCTTCCTCTTCCAGTCGATCTTGGGTTCCATAGTAGACGCCTTCCTGATCGGCTGTATGTTCATTAAGATGTCCCAGCCCAAGAAGCGGGCGGAGACCCTTATGTTCAGTGAGCACTCGGTGATCTCCATGAGGGACGGGAAGCTGACGCTCATGTTCAGAGTGGGCAACCTGCGAAACAGCCACATGGTCTCCGCTCAAATCCGCTGCAAGCTGCTCAAAGTAAGTCAGACATCCTCCCACTCCCTTGCTGAATCCTCACCCTCACCCTTATCCCCTGAAAAAGTCAGCCAGGCGGAGCTTAGATTTCCCCAACAAATCTTTCTTCGGGTTCGCAATCCCAACAGGTAAACTCACTTTCTGTCCTAGGAAAGCAAGTGAGGGCGCTCAATTCATTCCTCACTTTGCTGCCTCTCACACCTTTAGTTAAATTCATCATGTAGGGTGGATGTAGCCCTTTCTGGAATAGTAACAGTTATCAGGCGCGTCTTTTGAGTCACTTTTTCAAACCCAGAGGGAATTGTGTGCTCGGTTTTGGTTTTGATTTTTCCTTTCACCCTTTTCTTGTCTGCTGCCTTCACAACACTTTAGATTTGTTTTCTACACATTGTCCCACTAAATTTAACTTGTTAAAATGAATAGCGTTTATTTTTTAAAAACTAGTGTTAATATCACTTTCATTTGGGGCTAGCGTTTTCCCTTAAAAAAAGAACACTTTTTTATGTTGTTTTCTTGGGGGGAAAAAAAGCAAAAAACTCTCCTCCTGCCTCCCCCCCCAAAAAAAATCCAAAACCCTTGGATCTTTTACATTCAATTAACCCAGCCCAGCTCAGAAGATAGCATCAGCTTTGTGATAAATAAAAGTCACACCTGGGCCCGAGTTACCTTCCCCCCGCCCCCAACCCATGTTAAGTTTTAGAAGTTCTTGCAAAGTAAAATTGAAAGACTTTTGAAACCTTGACTATCCACTTCCCATAGGTGCTTCTGTTAAGTAGGGTTTAAATTGACTGTTTCTATGAAGCCATTGTCAATTACAGTTTGTAACTGAAGCTTTTCCTCATCGATTAAAGAAGGCTTCCTAACATCAGCAGCTTAAATCACTAAAATAAATTACATACGGAGTGATTATGACCATTCCCATCTTGTCTTTAGAGGGCACTAGAACAAACAAGAGACACAGCTGTCCTTTCATGGCAGAATCACCCAATTAGGGTCTGGAATACTAGAATTCAAAATCGATTTAGCCTGTGTGAGTGATTTTAAATTCATTGTTTCCAAAAGGATTTAGCTTTAGGTAGTTTTGAGATAGGATGAACTTGAAAAAAAAAACCAGATGAGCCTAAGTAAAATATTTAACAAAAAGATGGTCATCTGAAACCAGTTTCAGAACTAAGTGTAATATTGGGAAGTGTATTAATCACTTAAAAGCCTCTGAAGATTAAATACCCACCCTTACCTAGGGATGTATTGTTTTCCCTAAGCCTCTCTACAGTCATTAGGAAAAGCTCACTCAGAGAATCTTGGGGAAAAAAAAAGATTTTCAGAGTCACTTTAATTGTGATGTATGGAAGTTATATCACATATGTCAGTCAGTAAAATGTGCTACAGTTCAGTCTGTGCTCTAGGTCTTGTCCACATTTTTAATTGATTTGAAATTTTGTTTTATTAATTATTGCTTGAAGAAGTAAGCCATTTCCTGTGGCTTTTTGATCTTTTTTTTTTTGTTATAGAAATGCCTTCTTTGTAATGATATATTTTAAGTTGGTTTGATCTATGTATGTGGATAACTTATATTTAAAAATTTATATTAATGCATATATTTATCTCCAAACACACTCAAAAAAGGATTATAATAGTCCCTTGAGTGGCTGTCTCTTCCAATTCCTTTCCTTTACATAGAACCTGAAAAGATAATCCACAGGCAGAGGTTGGAACTCTTTTTTAAAGAATTCCAGAGAAGAGTCTAACACTTCCCACTGGATTAAAATGAATAATGTCTAACATATTTCTCTTTTAGGCATTAATTTTGTTTTATGTGCCCCCTAAGCCTCCCCTTTAGTAGTTGAAGCACAGTTCTGGCTTATTTGGGCCTCACTGAAATGAAAAATTGCTATTAAACATTTATGGACATTCCCTAGTTTTATCAAAATAATTTCATTTTAACATTTTGTGAAAACAGATTTCTATATTGAGAAAATGACTTTAGGAGAGGGATTTGGAACATCACTATAGATTTTTTTTTTTCTGCCATATATAAGTTTTTTGAAAGTAAGCTATAAACTGAAATGTGTAGAGGGTCAGTTTATTGCTTATTTCTGCTTCCTCACATAGAAATATGTTCTTTTTGAAGTACATCTGGGACCTTAGGTAATGCTGCTTAGATCACCTAGGTTTACATTCCATTAGTGGTGCCTTGCTAGAGAACCTAACATTTAAGAATTTTGAGCAACTTAAGCAGTTTGGAGAAAGGTGCTATATAAATACAAGGTCATATGAGTCAGTGGTTAAAATCTCATTTGCAAAATTCTTTTAAATCTTTTGGATTGCTGAGATGCTGGGGAATGAGGGAGATAAAACAGTTATGCAGAAGAAGAAGAAAAAATTACATAGGTAATGAGTCCTTTAGCAGAATTATGGGAAGAATGTCAATTGAAATGGTGACCTCAATGGTAGCATTTCACCCAGCCAATTATAGTAGTTCATTTGAGGTCAGTGTTTACTGTAACTGTCCTAATTTAAACACAATCTGAAAAATCTTAAATTAGTCTTAGATTTTATTAAAATGGGTAACATTTTCCCCTCAGAACCTAAAGTGGACTTGTGCTTTAATAGGTAGTTGTCAGTTATTGGGCTAATTTTCTCAAAGCTGTACTGGGAAAGTGATCTATATGAACAAACTGCATTTTAAAAATGTACCACATTAAATATTTACTTATAGTTTAGGTCAATATTTGTTTCCATGAAGATTCAAGCAGTGAATTATATAGTTTTACGTTTAATCCAAAGTTATTCGAAAGTTTATCCCTAACTTTGAATCTCTATCTTTGGAAATGTGTATTAGTTTTTACTTATAATTTGAAGAGAAAAAAATGCATCTTTTAAAGAGATGAAATCAACATAGTTATTGTGTGATAATTATATGTCCTTGATATTACCCAAACCAAAGTCCACTTTCTTCTTTGTAATCTTGTTCTCTGCTAAATTTCTAGTTCAATTTCGAGGACTGATCCTGTTGTTATGGAGGGTTTTAGAATTTAGAGAAGAAAAGCCCCAAATAGACAAAGATTTTTATCCTTTTCAGCAGGAAGTTTTTCCTGCTTCTGATACCTTTGCCTTCCCTAGGTCTTCATGGAAGCTAATTTCAAGTGTCCTTCCCTTTTTATTTGGTCTTTGTTTCCATTTTCACTTGTCCCAAAGACATTTTCATTTATCCCAAAAGTGAAAATGTATTCTCTACCGCCTTCAAATGTAGACCTTTCATTTAATTACCTGGAGCAGTCTGCCTTACTATATCTGAAAGCTTATGCTAAGAAAAGAAAAGATTTAGTCTGGTAATCCATAGTATTTTTCTGCACTTAATTGTACAGATGATGAAAAATGAAAATAATTTTTTTTTATTTCCATCCCTCTGCCATTGCCTCAGAATAACATGGTTGGTGTTTACTTCTAGCAAAGGGCAAAGTGGAAACTATGCCAACTGAATTTAACCAGTCACTGGAAGTTTTGAAAAGGGGTTATTTGTATGAAGGGACTAGAGCAAGAAAAATGCACCTATTTGGTGAAAAGTATTTAGACTAGTAGTATTTTTGTGTTGAAATTAAAGAACCTCATATGATCCTGTAGGCAAGTCTCTTAAGTGCAAGGCAACACCTTGGGCTATCAGGTCTAGTAGTTGTTGCATTATTAATGATTATCAGAAGAAGAATTTCAATGCCCTTCTTTGGTAACTTGTTTCAGTGTTTAGCAAATATACTTCTTGAAAGTCATTCATTGGATCATAAATACAGAGCTGGAATGGACTTTGGAGGTCATCTAGTTCATCTCCTGATGTTACAGATGAGAAAACTGAAAACCGTAGAGGTTAAGTGATTTGCAGAGAGCCACACAGATAGTCAGTGGCAGAGCCAAAATTCAAGCCCAGATCCTCTGACTCTACAGCCAGAGTTCTTTTTTATGGTACCAAATATAGAAATCTAAAACAGTATCAAGTCAAACAATTTCAATTTAATTAGATCAGCAGATGATTTTCTGGCACTTCTGTATCATATATCTTCTTTTATAATTCTATCATGCTAGTCTTTCAAATAATGGCTAACTCATTCAGTTTATGGTTCACAGTCCATTCCTGGATTATTATCTTAATACCCTATCCTTCATAAAAGGGCTTTTTTTTTTGGTCCTTACACAAATTCATGCTGTATTTGATAGACCATTTTCTTCAGATAATCACAAATGGAGTCTTTCTCTCTTTCTTTTAATATTCTGAGAGAATTTAACTCTACTTTAGATTGGTTGACCATATTTCAGCATCTTCATTCAAATTGTCATTAAAATATTAATATCATTTAAGTATCAAGGACCCTGAGAGAGGGAGTTACCTGATCTTGAATCCTCCAAATAAATTACATCATCTATTAAGATAGGTTGGTTCTTATTTGATCAGGATTACTTTTCATTACTCCCACATGTGTGCATGAAAAAGTCAAGATTCTATTTTTAAATTGGAAGTATTGTTTTTTTTTAACAGCAATTTTTTCAAAAGTAGGCATTAGCAAAGACTGGACCTTATACTGCTAGCATAAAGTTTGAGGTGAAAGAATGGAAATAAAGATCCCTAGTTTCACAACAAGAGCTGAGAGTGAAAGAGGAAGGAAGGAAAGAAAAGAGAAAGGCATAGGTTGAGCAGCAAGAGTGGAGGTGTATTTAGTCAGCAAGGTGATGTCGTAAGAAAGAAAGAAAACTTATCCTTCCTTATATATTATTAAAAAGATACTCATACAATCTAAGTTGTTTTTTCTGAAATTTCATGTGACCTTTGGAGAATCATAATACATGGTACATGTTTTCAAGTATATGGAGGTAAGACTATTAAATGCAGATTATTTGCTGAGATTAATATATTAAATCTTCATATTTGACTTGGGACCTGTAGTATTTTCTTCAGTGCAACATACATGTATGACATTCTTAGCATAATTAGATAAAAGACATACAGAGCCACA